CTCTCTCCTTTTAAACATGTTGTCCGTATTTCCGAAGTGAAATCTCAGATAGATTCGTCAGCGGCGACGTACGGCACGGGCGAGCTCGTTGCCTCTCGCAGTTTTGCATGAGGCCAAACGCGAAATTAAATCCGGGCGTGTAAACGACCGTCATGTATACCCTGTCACCGGTTACAAACGCGAGTCACGAATCCGTGGCACGGGACACGTCTTTCGCTTTTATTTACGGTTTCGCCCGCTCGCACCGCGAAGCCGTCGATTTAATTCCGAAAGTTGCCGGCGTCGCGACGCCGGGAAAGAGAGCCGCCTCGCGCGACGCGATACGGCGACACGTGTCCGTAATGTCTGCGTAACACGTGAGACTTCTTGAATTCAAGAATTTTAGTTGCGTCGATGCGATTCCTTCGAACGGCGGTGAAAATGAAGAAATCTCGAAACGCGTTCGATTCCCGCTTACCGTTCGGCGGCCGAGTGCGTTGATTTCTATAAAATTTGTCTTTACAAATTCTTTAATAGATTACTACGTTTGACCTAGTAACTAATTAATTAATTTATTTAACTTATTATCTTATTCCTTTGACTATTTTTTTTACTTTTACTCTTAAGTTACTAATTTATTAATTTATCCAACTACAAAAATATCTAATTGTTCACCTGTAACAATTTCAGACATGATATTATGAATTTGCTACCACAGACTCGTGAACCCATTCTGTTTTGGCGTAAATTAAAATGTTCAGTCAACTTTAGGTATTTTTTCGTCTATATACATACTAAAGAATTATTTTTCTATATTGCGGTTTGAGCGCTTATAATGTTTCCAGATTGTACTTGAAAAGGACCCGATACAGGGGTCGAAACGTCACGACTAAAAAAAACATCAATTTCGCCAGTTTGGTCAATTTGTTAAAAAATTCCCCTCGGTCTTTAATAGCTCTACATTTTATTAACAGTGCTAGGTAACATGAGAAAAATTTCGAATTTTGGGTAAATTTTATTTCACCGCGATGTTAGTGTATTGGAATTAAAAGGTGCCCATAAAATCTCAAAACTTTGATAAATTTCAGGCTTCGTAATATCTGATAAAATTTTTACGAAGGGCTATGCAAGTCGATCAAAGAATTCCTACGCGAAATTTGTAAAATATGTTTTTATTTATACAGCGCATTTTTTATTCACGAGGGAAATGTCACGTCGTATAAACTATAAACGCGGCTGCTATCGGAACGGAGATATTAACACGCCGCACGCAACGCGGCGCATTCGTGCGTGCTGCGTGCGTGCGCGCCCGCCCGCGACTTTTCTCCATTTATTTCCCTGTGTCTTTTCGCCGGGCGTTTTTACAACCGCGAGCTCGACATCTTTATCGCCGCCGTTATACGAGTTCAATGTACCTTTTGGTTACTACCGCCTCGCTGATTAACCCTTTCAACGCCGATGGCATTGCGCGGCGAGAGTTGCGCAATTTATGCGCATACATTTCACTTGCGCGCCCGATTTCGCCGTTTTCTTAGTCATCCCTTATTCTCCTCCGAGGTCGGGCACACGAGGAGGAGACGAATGCAGTAGGGTGTGCTTAGCGTGATTATCGCGAATGAGTTCTATGTCCCGTAACTTTTGTCGCGTGATTTTGAGCAGACACGCGGCAGACATTAACTCATAGTTTATGTTTATTATTTATATATGCATTATATATACACGTTTGTTATTTGACGCGCCGGTCTGTGTGTACATTGCTTGAAAATATTACTGAAACGCTGGAACATGCAAAGGGAGTGCTTGGAAAAATGTTTGCCAGAATTACAAGTTTCATGAAAACAAGTCTAAATAAAATTTGCGACTTGTAGCGGGGATTTCTAGCCGGGTTTATCGCTTGCCCGAAACGTACCTCAGTCGCTTTGTATAAAAGCTCTTTATTCACGACAGATGAAACGCGTAACGTATCTTGTGTCACGCGAAAAAAAATTAATTTTCCATTGATAATGTTGGCAACTATCGCTCAAGCACTATCAAGATCTAGCCGCTAATACGGTATCTAAATGTCGCGAGGGAGAAATGATTCATTTTTATTATATTAACACAACGCAAGGTTGTGACGCGCACTTCCACACGAAACACGCATCGCTCACCTTTACGTTTTGCGTGACTAATTTATCACACCCTCCGCATGGTCCGAGTAATCTTACTTGTTTTAACACACTGCGGTTCACCCTTTCTTTCCCTCCTTGATATTTTTCCGTATTTTTGCTGCGGCTGCCCGGTCATTTACGATTCTTTTGTGCGTGTACAAAAAGACCGCTCGCAGGAATCGCACGAGAAATCGTTTCACGATACCAAACTTCAAGCGGGATAATTTGTTAGCGAAGTATCTTTAAAATAACAAACACATTTATATATAATATAAAATTAATTTTACAGTTTAGCTAGGATAAATAAGAGATAAGCTATCAAGCGAGGGGGAAACCGCTGAGGGCACTGCGGTGTATAGATTTGCGGCATTACTGGGCAATACTAGGCATTTTTTGGGCATTAGGTCTTGCTGGGGCATTATAAGATAAAATAAGATAATAAGATAAAGTAATGCCCACTGGGCATTAGGTGGCTCCTAATAGCTTATTAACTTAAATTTAAAAAATAGTAAACAAATTAAAACATGCATTGCTTTAATTTAAGTATTTATTAAATATCAAAGAATAGATAATTTTAAATTTAAAAAATTTTCTTTTAATTTTATAAAATGTTTACTAAGATGTAATTTTCGCAGCGAAGGAAATTGGATTTCTTATTTAACAAAAATAATTATTTCATTTAATGAATAGTATTCTATATTTCATGAAATCTTTATTTGAATGTAGAAAATATAATGATTTAAATTAATTTACTTAATATAGTACAAAGATTTACTTAAAATTTTTTTTTTAAATAGAATAAATATTTACTTCAGTATAAAAAAATAATTTTAAGTAAATCTATTTACTTGAAAAATTTGTTTGTCAATGTGGGCATTGGTGTACAAGATTTTGGCCAGTGGTTTCTCCCTCGCTATCAAGTTTTAATATTAAAAGTAATCTTATTAAAAAGGAAGCATTGTAGTAATGTAAATACATGCCGCTTTGAATAGTGTTTTTCCTTCAACAGCCTCAACTTTAATAAACTTGATATTCGCGAAGCTTTGCCGTGGAAATCCTTCATTTATCGTCGCATATCTGCTTCGACTTTTATTATTAATATCCCATTCTTTTTGTTGCAGCTTGGCTTCTTCACGTATTACACAGTGGCGATGGGTGAGGTGAATCCCTCCGGGCCGGTGCCGATCGACAGTGTCTTCATTTACAGACCGGACAAGCGGCTCGAGCTTTGGAGGTTCGCCTTCTACATGTTCCTGCACGCTGGGTGAGTCTCGTCATTTTCTTTATCAACAACGCTCGATTGGTATTCGTATCGTAAATACGTTTCGCGTATACTTTCTGTTGTTCCTTTTTCCCGTCTCTCGCGATTCAGCTGTTTGCATAATTGCAAGCTCGTCTCTCGCGAATGCACGTATTTAACGGACATTTGTGGCGTCAACTCTCGAATCGGATCTCTCGATGCCGCGCTGTCCCCGTATGTATCCCGCCGACAGAACGCCCCGGCAATTTGATTCTCTCTATGCTCCGTGATATGCGAGCGCACCGTTAATTTTTCCTACCATCACAGAGAGAAACGTAATTTGTGCACACGTTTGCTTTTATATCACGTACCGACGTGACTTTATGTTACGTCGCAAACTAACATTTTTCACGCTAATAAATACAAAAGCATATCTGCGTCGGTGCGCATTCAAGTTACCTATCGAGAACGTCGCCGTCGAATTCGCGTCTAGAAAAACGAAAGAGAGAGAGAAAGAGAGAGGGGGAGAGAGAGGGAGAGAGAGAAAGCGCCGAGAGCGAGTCGATAAAACCTTGGTAGAATTTTAGAGCGAAAATCATAGAGAGCACAGTTTTTCATATCATCTGAAAATTGCATTTATCGAACAGTCTTGGTTCCCGATTATCCTGAATGAGGTCTGCGACGTACAGGTACAGGTTCTATTATTTTCAGAGCGCATTATTGCCATTACATCGGCGGTGACTAATAAAACTAAATTTAAGAGTCGCGACGATTCGAGCATTATTCGTTCTTTTTTTTTTATTACATCGTGATATTGTCCTGTTCTACTTACGGTAATGCGACAATGTTAAGAGAGAAAAAAAGAGGATGAGACTCCGGAATCGATAATATGGCGTTGCGACGTGACGCGACGCGACGCGAATTATTACAATGACGGCAGCACGAAAAAGGGATCAAGATAAACCACGTCCACGCCGTTCTTTTCTCTTCTTTTTCCACCCCTTCTTTCGCCGGACTTGCAGAATCAACCTGCCGCACACGTTTCGTGCGTGCGCTGCGAATTTAGTTCAGCACAATTTTACCGTTCAAAAAGATGCGCAATATACTTTTTACGTTTTAGCAACAATAAAGAACACAGCTCGCAATCTGGATTTAGCGGGATATTCGGGCGGAAAGAATGTAACCTTCAAGAAAAATATAAAGGAAAATATTATAAATATATAGTAAACTAAGATGAAGAAAATGAAATCTGTACTTTGGTATTCAGACAGACTTGAAAGCTCTCTATCTTGTTACCAAGAAGAAACTTGTTTTACATTTGAAATATTGAATTGCTGTTATGCATAACATCAAGAATTATTTGACGCCAGCAAATTACTTAACGTGATTAAACTGTTAATCGACCGTGACTGGCGATGTGTTTTATAACACAGAAAAATTATTGCGAAAAATATTACCGTAATATGCCTCGGTGGTCGAATTGGTTGAGACGCCCGCCTAGCGTGTGGGGAGGTCCAGGTTCAAACCCTGGCTGAGGTAATATTTTTCGCAATAATTTTTCTGTGTTATAAAACACATCGCCGGTCATGGTCGATTAACAGTTTAATCACGTTATGCTATTATGCATGTTGGAGTTGACGCGACAAAATCTTCGAATCGAACTAATTAGAAGAAGGAAATGTACTACATAAGGAAATTGAATGTGTATATTACATCTATCCCGCGTTACTCAAATCTCTTTTTTTCTTTCGCGGAAAATTTATCTATGATAGCGGAGGGGGGGGGGGCAAACCACAGAGTATAAGGCACTCGCGCGAGGAAGAGCTGTCGGACCGAAACAGATGCGACCCTGCGCACCTGCGATCAGCCATCTGCGTCCATCACGCGGGCGTTAGATACTACTGCTCGACTAATTACGGCAAATTTCGATCCCCCCGTGACCGCGTATTATGTTGTCGTACCTATGCTTGACATTACATCGAGTCGATTCGAGCGGCAGCCTTATAGGACGCAAAATTGTCCAAACTTGCCGGCACGCGTTGCTCTCCCACGCCGCGGATAAGTGGAGCGCAGAGAGAAGGTGGCGGCTTTCTTCGCTCGCAGCTATTTTTCCATCCTGCTTCCTTTTGCTCTCATTTTCCTTTCTCTTGCTCCCTTCAGTGGTTTTTACCCTCCCCCCCCTTCTCTAGCCCACGAATGACTTTTTTGCCTTTTCTCTTGGCTGCGGATCTTTTCTCATCCACCCGACATTCCTCTTGACGCATCAACATTTCTGTATCCACTCCCTTCCGCCATAAAAAGAAAGGAGATCGAGAGATGAGATCGTGCGGCCTGCTCTGCGCTTCGTCTCTCTCTCTCTCTCTGTTTCTCCGTCGCCGACATAGTAGAAGTTTTCAGCGCGCGAAGCTCTCTAAATTATTCATGGAAACGCGAGATAAGACGACCGTTTTCCGTACGTGCGTATGGAAACGGCGATAAGAGTGACCTCACCGCTGTTTTCTTTCCTATAGAAAGCGCGCGTTCGTCCAATCTTCTCGCGCTCCCTCTCTTCCTCTCATTCTCCACCCTCTTTTCTATAATTCCCTTTGCTCTTCTTTATTTCATTTCTGATATTAGAGGCTCTCCTTATTCAACGCGTCGCCCCTTTCATCTCTTATTTCTCTCTGCATTTTGCAACGTCGCAGTTAGAGTTTCTTCTCACCTTTCCACGTGCCGCTTCCTTTTGACACCGTGGACTCTACAATATTACCACTTCTTTTGTTAACCCTCCTCTTTTATTCTCATTCGCCGGTAACCTTGCTATTTGTTACGAATCCTTTCATTACTTAATATGTAATTTGCTCACGGACCTCTGACGCTGCTGGTGCTTAATACCTGCTAGGACTGCGCCGTTACATCATTTTTACTGTTATAGTATCGTACAAAACGGGACTTCGGTCTCCGAGTGTAACATCCTTCGCGGCCACTTCTGCTCTAGTCTTTCCCTCAAACTTCCTTCCACGAATCGCTTGCATCCTTGCCTTTCTTTTTACCGGTTTTTACCTCCTTCGTCGATTCGCCGCTCTCGCGGCTGTCGGATTATTAATGCGAGCAACACCCCCGCGCGCGTCCATCAAAAGTCATTTCTCCGAGCATTACGTGATCCCGAAAGGGCTCAAGTGCAGTGAGATACGTGGTAACGCGCGCGTTGTAAGTCGAAGATAAATTTCGTAGGAGCTGATGAATTCGTTCGAGGAATGGATCTCCGGGGAGGCTGATACTCCACGCGCGTGTAGGTAGACACGTTTTCAAATTGCGTGTCGAGTAAACCGTGTATCGCGGCAAAAGATAAGTGTATAATGATGCGATCGTGGTTTTTCTTTCTGTTAATTTTTTTTTAATTTGCGTCACCGACGCCCATGTCAGTGGCGTCGCGGATCGGCCACGTGTGCGAGCATCGCGGGTGTCGGTTACGCTAATTGGTATAAATCGGGGTTATGATAAGCGGTATAATGCATCAGCGGTGACACACGAGCTGCCAGGAGAGACCAAAAGCGCGATCCATAATCGACGAGTAAAAAGCCTGACGCTTCAGCCGGGCGACAGGCGATTAATTATAAAAACAAGATGGCCCGCGCTATCGAGCGCCTTTTTCCGTCTCCGCGTAACGCCCGTTACCTCCGCCAGACGTTATCGAGCTTCCTCCGTTATTAATGTGAAAACTGTCTTTACCTCCGTGCTCCGAAGTCGCGTCTCCGTCCTATTTCTCCGTTTGTCCTATTCCTCTCCCCCCCCCCTCTCTCTCTCCCCCCTTCTCCCTCCTTCGTGTTCGCGCGCGGTGGCCGTGAGAAAGCCGGAAGCGCGGAAAAATCGAGACAATCGCCGTAATTGCGGGAAGTCAACGCGCGCGGCCGCGTTGTCGGTGCAGAACACAATGGTATCGCCGAGTCCGCAAAATACAAGCCGCACCGAAAGGATCGCGTCGCTCGAGACAGGACGACGCGCTTCCGTATTTCGTTCGCGGTGCACCGATTCGCGCGAATCAAGCTCGAATTCACGAGAACGCTTTGTTGCGCCCGAATCGCCGCCGGACACCCGCCGTCCGTGTCCAAAGAGTGCGGCTCGCAAGAATCCGACGACGTAGGATTTTTATTTTCCTCGGTAAATAGCAGCCGGTCCTTTTGTAAAACGGACATCGATGCGTGCAGATATGTAACACGTCGACACCAATCGTATCGATATGCGAGGCCATCGATATGCATCGAATTTTAACTCGAATAGCCGTACGAGGAAAAGTTGTTTTCAACTAAATGTTGTAAGCAATTTAAATTGTATTACGCATATTATATATATTTTTTTTCATTAATATTTAACACGTATATTAAATTTAATGAATTTAGGATTTCGGAAACTTTTCCCTTTCTCTCTTCTTTTCTCTCCTTCTCGTTACTTTCTTCGCATCAAGAGAGAAAAAAAATTGAACGGTGTTCACATTTTATTAAACATACTAGATTCTTTACGAGAAAATTTACATATCAGTACTAGCGATGCAACACGCAGAACAAGATAATGCGCCGTCTTCCTCGTGAGAACGCTCGCGAACGTGGCATCTTTCCAGCTTCGTAAATCATGCCGAAGTTCCTCGTCGTGAGGAAGGTAAGAGAGAGAGAGAGAGAGAGAGAGAGAGAGAGAGAGAGAGAGAGAGAGAGAGAGGAAAAAAAAGAGCACGCCCGAATCTCTCGACTCGTAACTCAATTTAAATAACGATGTCCACCATCCCATCGCTTTTATAAGCCCTCGTCACTCGCGGGCTGCCGATGCGGCATTATGCATGCGCGACGAGCGAGGCGACACACCATTATGCCGCGAGTCCTTTTTAATGTCGCATAAATGCGCCGGGAGGCTGTGCTCCTTAATATCGCCGAGAGACGATATCCCTTCTCGTCCCTCGTGCACGCGACGTGCGCCACGTGGACCGAAACTTTCGCCAGCCCGTTCTCCGCGAGAATGAAAATTTTCGTGGAAGGCTGCCAAACAAATTACGC